TGGCTCCATGCCGATCTGAAAACCATATTGAAAAGATGGAAGAAAATTATTATTATTATGATTTTATTATTTGTCCTATAGCTTCCTAGTGGAACATAGGACTTCACCAGCACGTCGACATTTCACTCTCTTCTCTCTAGGCTTCCAACCTGCCTCCACCAGTGCCGTAAGCTTTCATCTCTTCCTCACACAATCTCCTCCACGTCACCCTCGGCTAGGACACCCAACTCGTCGTTTCCCATTTGGCTTCCACTTGACGGCCTGGTCTGGTTTGGCCTGGCCTGGCACGTGATGTCCACAAACGGTCTCCTCAGTGTGTGCCCAATATAATGCATCTCCACTTTCTTACTCTGCATTTTTGTTGGACGATAGGTTGTTGGTTGGTTAGTTGACAGCCAGCCAGCCACAGTTCCTCCTTCCTTATTCTTATTATTCTATTCTGGTCATCTCATCTCCATCTTCAGTATTGAGTGATAGTAGTTTGTTGGAAATGCTTTTCGTAATAATAACAATTATAATAATAATAATAATAATAATAATAATAATAATAATAATAATAAAGTCGTTAAAAGCCAAGTTCTGAAGAGAAGATGAGAAAAATCGGGGGTTGTAAGATTTATGACATAATGATTGCCATGAATATCATGCATGAATGCACCTAAATCACCACATTCGGTTTGAAGCCATTCATAATGAGTTATACAGGAAGCCTGTATTCACTAGCATAGTTTAAGCCAATAGTCAAATTCGGGTGATCTGAAAAATTCGTCTCAGTGATCTGAATTTATCCAGTTACACTGCTGTTCAGCTCCACTTTAAACGAGAGGAATGCCTGTCCGATGTTTAGATCACTCTACTCTTGCTGACAAAATCTACACATCAACCTGAGTGGTTTCTGACTTCTGAAGTTATTCAGTAGTATATTTTGTAGTTCATTACACTTTTTTATCGTACAACACACCTTATGATTTTAGTTGGCTGGGTGGTTTCCTGTTGACAGAACAGTAAGGCAGTTGAAAAACCAATTAACTGTAAGAAATATCGATATGGACGGTACAATTTGTAAATTATATTAATGATAGATCGTGGCTAGCAGTGGAATCCAGGATGCGCATTTCTTCCTATTTTGGACTCGTCAGCTGGATGTACGGCTTCCCAGTGAGTGATACTGTTCCCAAATTGTTCATCTTGTAAAAGTCAGTGACACTTCATCAGTAGTTTTCAATTCTGGATTCAATCAACCATAGACTTTTTTCGAACTTAATCCAACCGCTGACTAACTGTTCACATTGAAAATGATCAAGATACACATATTCGATGTATCTAAACTATGTTTTTTGAGATGAGTGAGGATTCTTAATTTACAAGTAGTATTCATCATGACTGACATCAGTTGGGGAACCATTGAAAATTTGGGAGCATTGGACACCTGTTTCGTCCTAATATGAGACTTCCAGCAGTACGCACCCACGACCCAGCTAGGGAAAGAACTCATGACCTTCAGTTTCATGGCAAACGCGTTAACCATTGAGCCACTGGGTCAGTTTTTGGTGGTTCACAATTTCCAACTTCTGTCAATTCACAACATAGCGCGACTGTCACCCAAGGTCTTCAGTTAGCATCCACTTGACTTCCGACTGGTTGACCCCACAGATCACGGCTGCCCAATGCTCCCAGATTTTCAATGGTTCCCCAACTGATGTCAGTCCATGATGAATACTACTCGTATATCTAAATTAGTTTTATAACCATCTATAAAGTGATTTTTAAGATGGATAAACTAGGTAGCTATTTGTTGACATACTTGTAATTCTCCGTTATTATACTGGATCGAATTGGTGGCTATCGTGTTTCAGTGACCTAATGGACAACGTTTTTGCTTTTGAAGTGAAGGGTAATAGGTTCGAATCTCAGTGGGAATAACATCACTACACACTGGTGTGCAGATACATCCACATGACGAGTACCAAATAGGACGTAACGTTCATCCTAGATTCCTCTGTTAGGCACAACCAAGTAAACTAGGTAGTAATGTGACCAATCACAAATTAATCTGCATTACAACTTAACTATCAGTGAAATATGTACAGTTTGTCTAGAGATAGACTAAATTTAGTCATCTTGTCACTGTGACAACAGCACGTGTGCCTTTATGTTGTCATGGTAATGCATTTTCAAACGTTACATCAACTGAGTATCATGTCTGTTTTTGGTAATATAATCAACCTTGTCCATCATTATTTCCTGTTTGCTTTTCTTGTGCATAGAGAAGTCATTGTTTCTATCAATTGGCTCCTTTTTCTTGTTATATTAGAGAATAGTGAAGGGAAAATTTGATGGAAAGTAAAGAATAAAGTTTAAAATATTTTTTTTTCAGTTCAAGAAGGATTAATTACTTTTCAAGGTTGTATTCATCACTGACTGATATCGATTGAAAACCTCGGAGTACTGGACAGCTGTTACGTCTTAGTATAGAATTCCTCATTCACTACCCCCACCCCATCAGGGATCGAGCTCACACCTTTTAGGTTGTACGGTGAACGCACTAACCACCCAGCCAATAGATAAGAGTTTTATTGCCCACAGTTTACTGCTTCTGTCAATTCACGATATAACACGACTATTCACCAAGGTCATCAGTTGCCATTCGCTTCACTTCTGACTGTAGTGGTTGACCTGATTGGTCATGACTTCTCATTAGAACTTCAAGTTATCCATCTGAAAGTTTGTCGCTTATGAGGAGTTCCATATAAGGACAAAATATCTTTCTAGTGCTCCCAGTGGTTCTTCAATTGATGTCAATTCGTGATGAATACTACCATGAAAATAAATTCCCCATTAACCTCAAAATAGGAGTAAAGCCATAGACGCCCAACCTCATTTTGTTCAGACTTAGGTTCTGATTTAATTCTCCACGAATTGATCATCTGTGCAACTGTCTATCATTCAGTAACAGCGGGTAGAAATTAGTCAATTAAATTTGAAATTTAATAGCTGTTCTGACTCATTTCTTGGTGTTGTGTTTGAAGCCGTCTAACTGAAACGTGTCAACATTGAGTTCTCGTTTTCTGGTGCTCATCGGGAATGTATGTCTGTAACCGTGGGAGTAATCATGGTTAGACCGTTTGTAAAACTTGATTATACAGATGCATTCATCTATATAGAAAATTCAACCTACTTTTGTAGTGCATTTTATTTCAAGTTAAAAATTCAGTGAGAAAAAATAAAAAACCATTTCAGCCTGTTGATTAGATATATCACACAAAGTGAACAAACAGTATCATTCAATAGATAACGATGTTTCGAACACAATTCACTGTCCATAGTTCATCAAGTAACTCAACAACTTCGAAACACAGTTTATATAGTCCTAATCTTCTCTCCTTCCTTCTCATGACAACAGTAGTCGAATAATCCAGATATCTCGGACACCTACACAATCATTCCCATGTATTTACATGTATTTCGTGTTAATTCGATAAACAAAGATTCACTTATCCATCTCTCCCTCCATCCACACAACTAACTTACCTTTCAATACCATCACCCATTCCCATCTGACTGCGTGATTGTGTGTATTGGCGTGCAGAGTTATAGCCGACCACTTCCTCTAAATTTATCACCTCTTTAGGATCCACTCATCTTGACTTAGCTGAGTCTTTGTACTGTGTTATTGTAATCGACGTTGACTAGTCGACGACTATCACCTATGTAGTTGACCTGACAATCATCGTGGGGAAGTTGGTAGACCAGATTATGCTGTTCAATTGCATCGATTGGATCTTGTAACTGACAAAGCTTGTTTGTAAGTGAGTTAGTTGGTTTGAATGCCAGTGACTCTAATCCCAGTAGTCTTGTTGAGAATTCTTTGTAATGCTTTTGAGGTGACTTCCTTGCATGGTAACACAGTATCATTCAATGGATAACGACGTTTCGGACACAATTCACTGTCCATAGTTAATCAAGTAACTCAACAACTTCGAAACACAGTTTATATAGTCCTAATCTTCTCTCCTTCCTTCTCATGACAACAGTAGTCGAATAATCCAGATATCTCGGACACCTACACAATCATTCCCATGTATTTACATGTATTTCGTGTTAATTCGATAAACAAAGATTCAGTTATCTATCTCTCTTTGCATCCATCCAACTATGTTAGTTTTTAATGCTGTCGGTCACGGTTGTATAGTGCTCATTAGTAACTTGCTTCCAGATAGATATCATGGAGCTGTAATGAGAAGCCGTGACCCGTGGGGTCAACCAGTAGGAAGTGAAGCGGATGCCAACTGAAGACATTAGGTGGTAGTCGCGTTATACTGAGAACTGACAAAAGTTGGAAACAGTGAACCACTGAAAACTAACCGACCCAGTGTCTGAATGATTAACGCGTTCGCCATGAAACCTGAAGATCCTGAATTCGATGCCTAGCCGGGTCGTGGGTAAGTACTGCTGGGGAGTCCCATACTGGGACGAAACAGCTGTCCAGTTCCCCCCAGATTTTCAATGGTTCCCCAACTAACGTCACTCCATGTTGAATATTACCTCTAAGATAAAACTGTTCTCTAATTCAAATAATTTCACCATCAACTATGTCGTAAGTTTAACATTTTGTCAACTGGTGATTTGATATTACAATCGGTCTGAATAAATCAATAACATTATCACATGCCCTATTGCATGACTCACTATTCGAAACTCGAGCTTATGAAGGTCACTTACACTGTATATCCTGTCCACTAGTTATCATATCAGATAAGAGGTTAGGTGAATTTACTGCGAATACATAGAAAGTTGTCTGTGATAAATCAATGTGACATATGCTTGAATGTACATATGTCTATCTGTATGTATGTAGGTAGGTGTGTATTTGTATGTGCATATGAATGTATGACTGGATTATCATAAGGTTTCAACGGTGTATGAACAAGATAACCACGCCATGAATTTAGTATAAAACTGTTTGAAACTGTCCAATATGTTTATTGTATCGCTTAGTCATGAAGTGGAACAGCGTTTGGTCGGCTTTCTTCTACTTATTAGTTTTTAATTATGAACTGGATGCATACCAATACAAGCATATGCATCAACCGCTTTCACAGGAATTAATAGATTTCATCAATCATGCGGTAAGCAAAAAAGAGAGTTGACTTATGCATTTTTTAAAATGATCATTGTCTAAGTTATTGTTGGTTGGAACAAGACATATCATAAGAGAATAATATTGTTTTCAATTAGATCCTCTTCAGGCTTTACTCTAATATAAATCACTGTGTATATATTAGAAACAATTAGTCCCTTTAATAAATTTCGATAACGCTATTAGAAGATGAAGATTATCTGAACAAACTGTATGATGAAAAGGTTGTGACACTAGTCATGGTAATATCATCAGAATACCAAGGCTTAACCAAGGTAAATGAAGTGAAACAACAAATTGTTTTTGTACACACAAAGGGGGACTAAGTTTACGAATGGTTAACGCTTTAGCAAACTTCAGTATACGCCCCTGATTATTCCTGTATATTATCTTAAACGCTGTTTTCGTATTAACCCTGTGATTCATTTCAATGAAGATGTTTTGCTATAGATGACGATGGATGTCTGTGCCGGAGGGAAGATGGATCTATAAGACGATCAATATATAGGAAGTCTACTTGGACAGGACAGTATTTGAATTACCATAGTTTTTGTCCGATGAAATATAAGAGAGGCTTGGTAAGATGCTTGTTCAATAGAATCCAACGTATTTCTACATCTGATACGATGGATAATGAGAATAAGTTTCTGACAGACACTCTTGTGGAAAACGGTTATCCATTACAGTTTGTCAACCATTGTAAAAAACAGTTGACCCCAAAGCCTATAGTTTCCTCGGTCCCGAAGAAAAGCATATTTCTCAAAGTACCATATAGAGGGGAAATGAGTAGTATGATATTGAAACAGAGATTAAAATCTGTTATCAGTAAAACATACTATGCAGCTCAGCTTATCATTGTTGAGACGACAAAACACCGGCTTCACCACAAACCTCAACCTCGCACAAATGATTACATCACATCCTACTGCGTTTACCAATTTACATGTATGTATGGGCACACATACGTAGGGAGGAGTAATCGTTCAATGCAGACTAGGGTGGGTGAACACATCCCCAAATGGCTAGAAAAACAGTTTAACACAAACTTTGATAAGTGCAGGTGATAGACATCCATCGTCATCTATAGCAAAACATCTTCATTGAAATGAATCACAGGGTTAATACGAAAACAGCGTTTAAGATAATATACAGGAATAATCAGGGGCGCATACTGAAGTTTGCTGAAGCGTTAGACATTCGTAAACTTCATCCCCCTTTGTGTGTACAAAAACAATTTGTTGTTTCACTTCATTTACCTTGGTTAAGCCTTGGTAATCTGATTATATTACCATGACTAGTGTCACAACCCTTTCATATTTATAATATATATTTAACCTTTCATTTTCATATATAAATTGACTTGACAAGTAAATGTGTGGGGGATCAGATTATTTGAAATGTATTGCGCAAATACATCACACAGTTTGTTCAGATAATCTTCGTCTTCTAATAGCGTTATCGAAATTTGGATAATGTAATTAGAAGACGTAGATTATCTGAAAAGTGTGATGTATTAGCGCTATACATTTTGAACAACTTGATCATACATTTACTTATTAAGGCAGTATTATATATGAAAACTGGAAGTGGGGAAAGGACGAATATGACATAAAACTTGAAGACAGTCTTGGTAATACTATAAAATAAGCATTACCAAGGTAGGCTTAATGTAAGGACAAACTGTTCTTGCACACAATGGGGTTATTTATGGCTAGTGCCTCAACAAACTTAAGTAGACCCCCTGATAGTTTCTGTACAAAACTGTAAAAGTTGTTTTGATATTAATCCTGTGACTTTTATCAATGATATGTTTTGCAATGGATGCGGATGATAGTTGTGTGCCATCTGCGCTTATCAATGTTTGTGAATCCAGCTGCTTTCGTAGCCATTTTGGAACATGTTCCCCTACCCTCAAGTGCATATCATTATTTGTCCTCTCTATGTATGTTTGTCCATACACATATGTAAACTTATAAACGCAGTGGGATGTGACGCAATCGTTTGTGCAGCGTTGAGGTCTAGTTTGCAGCAGGTGTTTGGTCTTCTCAGCTAGCTGCATAGTGCGTTTTGCTAACAGCAGACCTTAACCTTCGTTTTAACATTATGCTGTTAGATTCTCCTCTGTATGGTAACGCGATGTAAACGCATTTCTTCGAAATTTGCAGCGGTTTATGAACTTCAATGGATACCCATTTTCCAGCAATGTTCCCGTTAGTATTTTGATATCATTATCCATTAAGTCTTCCGTACAAATACACTGGTTCCTTTTGAATAGGCAAGTTACTAAACCTCGCTTGTATTGGGTTGGACAAAAGCTATGGAAACTTAAATACTGACCTGTTCAGGTAGGTTTCCTGTAGGTCGACCGTTTTATTGGACCATCATTTCTACGACTTAGGAGTATATCCAAGAATGACAGACGGTTTTCTTTCTTTTCTTCACATGTTAGGCTTATGTTGTTTTGTATGTTGTTAAGTCTTTCCAACAAACATGTCGCATCTTCATGCTTATCACATCACGATTATATCATCAACATATCTTTTATAGAGAGTAACTTTTATTGATGAGATCACGGGTCAAGCCCTCAATGTATGACATTTAAATATCAGCTAGCAATGGCCCTAAGGGACTTCCCATAGCCACACCATCTATTTGTCGAAAATGTTCACCTTCAAATGTGAAATGAACTTTATCAGTAGTACACAATAATAACAGCTCTCTCAAACACGTTGAGGGGATAGGGTAAGAAGGATTACTGGAAGATATATGATCATAAAGAATGTCAATGGTTTTAATTAGGGGTACACTAGTAAATAAGGAGTTGACACCAAATGAATACAACCTCTTATCTTTCATATTAATATCACTGACATAATCAACAAGTTCAAAAGTATCTTCTAAAGAAAACTTACATAATTCATTTCGAATAGGAATTAAAGTTTTTGCTAACCATTTCGCCACTTTATGTGCAGGTGAACGGAACATGGAGAGTATAGGAAGTAAAGGATTATCTGTCTTATGAATTTTAGGCAATCCATACAGATTAGGTAGCTCAGACCCCATTGGTTTGAGGGAAGCGAATTCTTCCTTACTGATAACATTGGTATTCAAGAGTTTTACCAGACTAGATGTTATTTTGCATTCTAATTTTCTAAGGTCGTCTGACGAAACATCAGATGTCTTCTAATTACATTATCCAAACTTAATATATATAAAAAGTAAATCAATCATGTAGATTTATCGACTGTGATAAATTAATGATGGGTAGTGGGTACCAGTGGAATCCAGGAGGGGCATTTCTTCTTATTTAGGACTCGTCAGCGGAATGTACCTACCTCCTAGTGAGTGATGTTGCTCCCACCGGGATTCGAACTCGGGACCAATTGCTTTAAACCCCAGAGCAATAACACTAATGTGGTGTTTTAAAATAACGATGGTGATAATAATACAAATAATGAAAGTGATAACTTGGACTCTTAATATAGATGACAGTAGTGATGATAAGAACCAGGAAAGCAGGATGGAAACGTAAACACTCGATAATCAAAGTGGGTCAGGTGCTCGCGTGAGAAAATAAAAGTTACGTATTACTGAAGGACGACGTAAGTGGATAAAACAAAGTATAGGAAGCGGGTTGGAAAAAACTCAATAATAAAGTTATCAACTAAGTGTTCCCTGGACCAAGGGAGAGATAAGGGATGTACAAACTTTTTCTGGATACAAAAACCAGGACTATTAGCTCGAATACCTTTTAAAAGATGAGATGGTATGCAATGAATAATCATGAAAGAAGTGTTCCTATCTACCAAGTGACCACTATCAACGAGGTGAGACAAAACCGAACTCCTGATGGCTTTTATCTTTCCCAACCATGAAAGCAGATGCTCAGCAACACGTCTGTTAAGTTGTCTAGTAGTAAGACCTGTATGGCTTTCTTCACAGGACCAGCTAAACTTGTAAATTCACATAGAAATGGCCAAACTACATATCTTATCTTTGATCTGAGCAACAACAATTGGTCGATTGGAGAGTGATAAACATAGTTATGCGGCGTAGAAAGTCCTCTTAATGGCTGTAAAGAGTCCCTGAGGTAAAACTTCACCGGCCACAACTCCATTAAATTGCAATTTCATGGAAAAAATGGTTTCTTTTGTACGGCAATAACTCCAGGTTCGTCCATGTGTCTTTTTTTATGAAACTGTTAGGGTAACCCATTTCAACCAATGAATTACAAATATATTCTAACTCCTTCTGTACTAGATCATCCGAAGATATTCTTCTCACTGTTAGTGAGGCATTTAAACAGGTTTACTTTGTACGGAATTGGTACATGACTAAGAAAATGTATGTACTGACTTAACATATATGGTCTTCCCGTTAACAGATATAGTGAGTGAACCATCTTCTCTTCTGCTTAGCAAGAAGTGTAGTACACCCATTTTCTTCTTCACAAGTGAAAGTGAGTGAAGGGTGCACCTCATCACATTTTCTTAACACCTCGTTTGTATCCACATTCTGATCCAGGTTAATGAATTTATTATTATTATTTTATTAGTCCCTTGGGTTCCTAGTGGAACATAGGGCTTCAGTAGCACGCCTCCAGTGACCTCTGTTCTCTGAGATCTTTTGAACCTGGCTCCACGACAGCCCAGAAGCTCTCATTTCCTGCTCGCACGACCTCCTCCATGTCACCCTCGGACGTCCAACTCGTCGCTTCCCATGGGGATTCCACTCGAGGTTAATGAATGTGTCGTCAATATAGTGCTGATACTTATTCATTTCATAAATCACATCCTTCAATGTTCCTTTCTCCAGTTTGGCAAGAAATATATCACCTAAAATAGGGCCAAATGGTGAACCCACAGGTAACCCATCAATCTGTATTTATTATTTTATTTGTCCCTTGGGTTCCTAGTGGAACCTACGGCTTGAGTAGCACGTCTCCATTACACTCTGTTCTCTCCAATCTTTTGAACCTGGCACCACAAC